GAATCCCAAGCCGTTTCATCTTGAAGTCAACATGAAACATTAGCATATTGCCCGCCCACTTGTTGGTCTTTTAGCATTGGTCTGAATGAAAATGCAAATTCATTCTTTGCCACTAGGTGCTGCATTTGGAGCGGTAAAAATAGCGGTTTCTCGGTAACGCTGTACACAAAGCAGCACTGCGCTCACAAACGCTGCTTTATCAGGCATTACAGATGTGATGAAATGAAAATGAGGCCAATCTGACCAATCACTGCAGATTAGCGTCACGCAAAGGAGGGGTTTGGAAAAATGAATCGTTGAGCGAATCGTTTGGGAGTCGTTGAGCAAGTAAAGTAAAAATAAATGCATATTATAAGACAATGAAAGCGTTTTTTTTACCTTGCATACATGTCAACCTGTTGTTGGGGACTCCCAAAACCAAAATATGAACCTTTCATTATCCATAATAGGGGCACTTTAATACAAATAATTGTTTATTTTTAAAAAGTATATGTTTAGTACAAATCAATTATTTATATTAAATGATATTAATATAATAACTATATATTATAATTATATAAAATTGTCTTTTACTATATTTTATAATTACATTTAAATTTTCAAATGATACATTTTAAATTAAATTAAAAAATTTAAATTTTAAATAATATTTATTATAAATGCATTAGTCAGTGAATATGCTTTATATTAACATTCTATATAGCTGCAGTGATTTTATTACCTGTTTATGTAATTTGACTAAACTCTTTTTACTAGGATAAGGGTTTCCTTTGTCATCGAAGTCCTCATAATCGTCCATGTTCCTGCCCATCTTTTCTTGGTATTCTACAGAACACTGACAAAGACGTGGGGGTGTTAATGCGCCATATTTACACATGCACAGTCAGTAGGATGTAGATTACATTAAACTTACCTTTTTCAGAATAGTGTCAATGCATTTGCGTAGAGGATGATTGTATTTGATCGTCTCATTGACTGTTCTGACATCCTGTAAAAGTGTGAACACATTACGTATGCACTGATAAGATAATGCATGAACTTTGATCAAAGAATCGATGATCTCTTACCTCCATGACGTCTTCCAGGTTTTCCTCAGCATCTGCTTTTTCCGTCATCAGTTTTGCTGCTTTAAAGTACGTCTTTGCCAGCAGCTGCCCGTGGCACGATGCCCTCCAATAGGTGCGCGGGATTTCCACCAGGCCGTATCCCAGCAACAACACCAGCAGGAACAAGCCCCAGGTGTTGGCGGCAGTAATGCCGATCGTCCGCAAGCCAGACCTTAAAACACATTTGAGTAAAAAAAGTTAGATGTGTATTGGTCTGCAAATGAAAGGAGTGTTGTGATTGTTTGAAGAGCGAAAGATGAGGGCGGGACACAGACCAGGAGAGATGCAACTTCGGAGTGACGGCGACGTAGATGAGCAGGGAGCAGAAGATAAGCAGGTATGTGCCGTAATAAATGGCGTTTTCTATAAGAGCCGTTTTTATCTTTCCTGAGATGGAGAAACCTCCTGAACGTGCATATGACTGCATGAAGGGAATCAAGAGCCTGCGCACATGGAAACAAGACATTCTCAAATCATTTACGATTCAGTAAAAGCAAAAACTCTCATTGAATTTGTAATTATAAAAAGTGGCATAAAACAGAAATGATTTCATGTCACTAATGCTATAGACTGTCAGTAGTGGAGATGTATTTCAATGGGACCTTCCCGGTTAAATACAAATACAAAAAATGTTTATTTTATAGAGGATGAACTATTCCATGAAGCCTTGAAAAAAAATTTCTATTGCAATACTAAATTAATAACTGTAGGCTTAAAAAATAATAATAAAAATGCTATATTTTTTGCAATACATTTTCTGCAAAATATTTAAATATATAAAAATATTGTATATATTAAGTTACTTATTTACTTACTTATTTTTACTTATAATTAAGTTACTTAATTGCATGATTTGTGATGCTTCAATGGATTTAGCATTCACTGCTGAGCTAATTAGGTGTAATGTCCATTTCCAATTAATTACTTTTTAATAAGTGAAAAAATTTGCAGACCTTAGTCAGAGTAGCGCCACATTTCATTTTTGACTGGAATAAAAAAAAAAAAATGAGGCTGTGAGGCACAGAAATGCGTTCAGTCGATAGTACTGTTGTTAAAGAACATACCGATTGTTCAACTGACGAAATGTCTTCCAGAAAAAAATTAAAGTTGCAAAAGTTGTGAGTTGGCGAAAATGATATGATCTAGGATCTTTATACAGTGCGTGCCATCGTAAAGACCATTAGTCTACCCTTCACAGCCTTGTTTTCATCCGTGTTAAATTCAATATGGCATCTAATCTTACTACTGTGGTTTAAAACATCATTTAGCAATATCAGAGCTCATGGTAGTTCTGTCAACAGAACCCTACTGATGCTCATAATTGTGAAGAACCAGGGGAATGACAATTTCTCTCGCACCATGTCAGGAACTGTGAGGTCCAGTACACCACCCTCCAAAACACAGGCAGAATTCCATCTGGGATGTAACTCCAAGGCTTTTGGCAAATCTTTGGGACCCTATAGTCAGGAGAAGGTGGAATGTTGTTGAAAAGTTAATGTATAACCATATTAACAGTGTTAACTCAACATAAAAGGCTTAGCACTATTTGTACAACAGTGTTTAAACACACTTCAGGGCTTTAGTTCTTCCTTGTGCTATTCATTAGACCAAAGCAAACGTGTTTACCTTTGTGTTGGAAATACCGAAGAGTTGGAGGAGTTATCATGGTTGACAGTTTTGATCGCCACCAGGTGGACCTGATTATCAGTCTTACACTGGTTATATATGGTCTGTGGAAGCAACACATCACAGGGACTGAGAAGAAGACAACAGTGGCTTAATCAAAAGGAAAACCAGACTGCTTTTACATTTTGTGTTTAGATTGCGCTTCTTTCCCCGCAGGAAATGTTCTGAATTGCATGCTTGCCATCTGTTGATCATGAAAGTCATGCATACATTACAGCAGGTTTGGTAAATGGCTCTAGATAAGAGCATATGTTAAATGCCTTAATTATAAATGCAAACATTATTCCCTAGTCTAATTCTACTACTTAATTTTCTTAAATTCTGCAGGTTATGAAGGTTAATTTAAGACTTTTTAAGACCAAGTAAAGAATATTTATTTAATGAATAAAATTAATGGAACATAATATGTCAATATGTTCTCTAAATGTTGTCTTGTATAAGCAATTCTTCAAAGTTTTGAAAATACATCTTCCAACAGATCTCAATCACTTTTTATTTCCCAACCACTAGAATATGGAAACAATGTTTACTGTACCTTCTGATCACACTGCAAAAAGGAATGTTCTTACTCAGAATTTTTGTCTTGTTTTTCAGTGCAAATGTGTAAAAATCCTTAAATCAATATACATTTACTTGAGAGGCAAAATGACATAAGACAAGAAGTCTCGTTTTCTGAGAAACTGATCAAAATGAAGTGGATTTATGATCAAAACAAGGACAAATATCAGAAAAATCGAATTAATTCAAAGGGAAATAAGTTCTGATACCTCAACTGACAGATATTTGTTCTTGTTTTAAACAAACTCATATAATTTTGTTCAGTTTCTCAGAAAACAACACTTCATATCTTCAATTGGGATCTCAAGTAAATGTACAGTATCTTGATTTAAGTCTATTTAGATATTTGTATTTGCAACAAAACAAAAATACCGAGGAAGATATTGATTTTTATTGCAGTTCACGCAAACTTTAATGCCATGACTTTCTGCTCTGATTTAAGAACATTTTAAGGCCTTAATTTGTGCAAGGATGAATTAAGAATTTTTTAATGCCTGCAGAAACTTTTTCATGAAATTCTCAGTTATTCGTAGTTATTGGATGATTATTTGTAAAATTATTATTTGTAATTTTACAGCAATTGCACCACCCCCCCCAAAAAAAAAACAAATAAATAAATAAAAATAAAATAAATATATAGATAAAACAAAAAATAAATACATTTTCTGAAACAGATTTTCTATTAATGCATTTTTGAATGCATTATACATAAAGCATTATGAATGCATCACACTTAAATCCATACGGAGAGCTAGGGCTGCACAATTAATCGAATTTCTTATTATTTTACAATTACGGATGCCACAATTACATAATCGTTCAAAGCGGCAATTAATCGTTCAAAGTCCACTTATGTTATTCTGCGTGCTTAAGATGCGTTTTCTTTCTTTCTACATGTTATCTTAAGGGTTTTTCCATTGTTTTAATTTTAGTTTTAGTATAACACTATAATACCATTTATATTTATATTTTTATTATAATTTAAAGAAGAAACCAATCCGATGTATAGTTGACATTTGAAGCTTAATACTACAGAAAAGCACTAAAAGTTTTTCAGTTAAGAGTGTTTTCAGCTTGTTTATTTTCATATAAAAATACGGCATGCAGTTGCATTAAACAATGGTATAGACATCATTCAATGTAAATTGTGAAAGTTTTTCAGTTAGAGTGTTTTCAGCTTGTTTATTTTCATATAAAAATACGGCATGCAGTTGCATTAAACAATGGTATAGACATCATTCAATGTAAATTGTGATAATCGTAATTAATAATCGCAATTACAATTTCAAGGCAATAATCGACAATTATGATTTTTGCCATAATCGTGCAGAGCACACTTCTTTCTGGATCACACCTTACGCAGTTCAGACCTGCAACCTTTCAGTCACCAGCCCAGATTTTTAACTGCTACACCACAACACCTTTAACTCTGGTCTCTACACATGCAGGGGGTCTCACCGTGCTGACGTCCAGCGGGAGGATGAAGACGATGAGGAAGCACAGGAACCAGGCGAGGAGGGTGGCGAACAGGACCATCCGATGCTGCTTGCGAAAATCTCCATATCGGTGCAGCAGGAAGAGCGCGAGGAAGAACACCACCACCACCTCCAGCGCGAGCGCCACGCCACTCATCCTGACATATAACCCTTCAGACAGGCACGAGACACTCCATCAACACCAGCACTGTTTGGAGAGAGCAACTTCATCAAGATTCGTGATGTACATCTAATATTGACATTAATAACAAGTTCACTGGAGCCAGACTGGCAGGAATGCGTCTATCAATAAATCAAAAAGCGTGAATCTCATAAAGAAATAAATTCCCAGGTAAAATTTTACCCCAAAATATAAAGAAAATTATATTTTGCATTAAGATGAAGCCTATTTTTAAGACTGCAATTTTTTTAATATATAACTGTAATGAGAATTGGGGGGGAAAAAATAATTTTCTTTTCAGCAAATGAAATGTGATAGATAAAATATATAAAAAATAAATAAAAATTATAAAATAAAAAAAAACTATTAAAAAAACTAGCCATTTTATTATATAAATTATATAATATTTAATAATAATATAAGTATCATATATAAACAAATTTATAAAATTATATAAACAATGATAAATATCACCTAAAGTAGTTTAATCGTTTTAATTAATGTTTATACTAAATTATGAGCTAAACTCCAATATACGAAAATACAGAAAAAGTAAGTATGAGAAACACAAGATAAACTGATGTCAAACTATTTAAATGGCTATCGCTGTAATATCGGTTGATTGAAATTGTGTCTTCAGGTTTGAGTATCGAAAAATACCGGTTGATAAATGTATTTCATGACACGTAATCATTGCGTAATTAATAGTAGAGAGTCAAAGAGGTTCTGTCACAGCGACCGGAGCACTTTTCCGCTACAATTCATCCGTCAGCGAAACATTATGGAAACAACCGGACAATAACTTACGAGTTCCAACAGGCACGATGTTTGAAGAACGAGTTTAGGTCCGATGTGAGAGAACGATCACATTTCGTGGTAAAAATTAAGCAGCCCGTGATATTTGTGTACAGAAGCTTTTGACGTGACACGTAACTGAGCAGTGATGCACTTCCTGCTCGCGTGATGTATTATGGGAAATGTAGTTTTCCTCACAGGTTTCCGTAAACCTATTTTATTTTATTTTAGGCAAGTCGACACTTTTTTTGCTGTATTTTTTGTATATAATTTTTGTGAATTTTTTTTTAGTTTTAGTAAAAAACCATTTAGTATTTATATATTCATAGGCTATTTCATATTACAGTTTTTTTTTTACATTGAATTATTATTATTATTATTATTTATTTTATGAAGTAAAATGTAGTTTTATTAACATGGACACATGTGGTGATTAAAGGTCCGTCTGTGTTTACATTGATTTACGTTTAAAATAATTTTATGAATTACATTTTAGTATTAGTAACACACAAACATGTAAAAGTGTTTAAAGGTCTCTGTTTATTTTTAATATTACTGATTTTAGTCAATTTAAAATTGTATTAAAAATAGTCATTAAATTATGAATAATTATTTATAATTTAGTATTTATATTTCACATTATTGTTTTTACATTTAATTAGCCTACTTTTTAAAATAATTTTATGAATTAAATTTTAGTATTAGTACCACAGAAACATGTGGCGTTTAAAGGTCCCAGTTTATTTTTAATATTACTAATTTTATTTAATAAAATTGTATTAAAAATAGTCATTAAATTATAAATAATTATTTATAGTTTAGTATTTATATTTCATTTGACTGTTTACATTTAATTACTTTTTTTTTTTTTTTTACAATTTTGTGAAGTACATTTTAGTAACACACAAACGTGATGATTAAAGGTCCCTCACTTTATTTGTATTTCATATTACTGTGTTTACAGTGAATACAAGCAGTACAGTGTTACGAAAATTAAAAATGTCCTCATTAACCAAAGAAATTATAATAGAGTTGACAGGTGCAAAGTAGTTAATTTTCTTGACTTGATCTTTGACTTTATATATCAAGAATAATCCAAACTGACAGCAATTTAAGCCTTTCTTTTAATATAAATATTTGTGAATGTTGAGCAGAGTATGATGATAGCGGAGAAGAGTCAGAGAAATCTTCTGGAAAACCATCCTCCGCTGATTTGTAGGATTGACTTGGAGGTCTAGATGTTCAGAAAAGCCCAGGTGGAGAGATCATCTGCCCACAACGAGCCCAGAAACCGAAGGCACACCGCCCGGTCCTCCAGCAAACACTGCACCTGAGCGATCAGATCCAGATTCAGATGCTCCAGTAACCTCAGACACAGCTCCCAGTCCTCCATATAGTCCGTGTTCTCCAGAGAGTCCAGCAGCAGCGAGAGCAGCACGGCAGCAGACTGGAGGCAGTCCTGAGCGCTCATCTTTAGAATGTACAGTATGTTCAGTACGTCCAGCGTGCACTGTGTGAAGCGGGAAGCGTTTGTGGCAGGTGTGCGGGTGCTAAAGCCGTCTTAAACCCTTTAACAGCAGACGGGGCAAAGCTCATGGGTAATGGTGTTATTATGGTGAAGTCATCATCACGTTATTGTTTCACGTTTTTATCTGTTTTGCAAAAAGTACCGAGGGTGCATTATTATGCATATTTTAGAATAAAGTGAAAAAAGTGATGTGTGGCCAAGTTTGGTGTCCTGTACTCGTCGGAAATACAAGTCGGACTCTGTAACCATTAGGCCAGGACTGCCCTCTATATAATAGTAAAGTCAGAAATAGAAGCATGAGAATTATTCGTTTAACTTTTAGTATTTTTATATGATTTGTCATTTTTCTGTTTTTTTTTTTATATTACTATTTAGCTTTATTTTTTACTTTAGTTTTTATTTCCAGCTAGTTATTTTATTCCTTCAACTTAAACAGTTAGTTGCCAAGGCAACATTTCTTCTTTTTTATTAATATTTGAATTAGCTTTTATTTTTATATTTTCGGTTTTAATTTGTATTTTAAATTTTTTGTATTTTTGTTATGTGCTTTTCTCAGTTTTTTATTTTTTAATGTATTTCTATTTACGCTTAAATAATTTTTATTTCAGTATTAGTTCTAGTTCCGTTTTAGTTTTTATGTATTTCCAGGTTTATGTATTTCCAACTTAAGCAGTTAGTTGCCATGGCAACATTTCCCTTTTTGTTTTTATTAATATTTTGAATTAGCTTTTATTTTTATAATTTCAGTTTTAATCTTAGCTTAATTTTAATTTTTGTAATGTGCTTTTGTCATTTTTTAGTAATTTTGTTTTCAGGGTTTTTATATTAATTTTTTAAATATTAAAATGTTATTTTTTGTTTTGTTTATTATTATTATTATGTTTTTTTGTTTTTTACATTTTAGTATTTATTTTATTTATATATAATAGTAAAGTCAGAAATATAATATGGGAATAATGTATTGACCATTTTTTTTGTTTATTATTATTATTATGTTATTTTTTTTAATTTTAGTATTTATTTTATTTATATATAATAGTAAAGTCAGAAATATAATATGGGAATAATGTATTGACCATTTTTTTTGTTTATTATTATTATTATGTTATTTTTTTTAATTTTAGTATTTATTTTATTTATATATAATAGTAAAGTCAGAAATATAATATGGGAATAATTTATTGACCAAAATGTGATATTTTTTTTATATATATCAAATTTAATATATACATATATATATATATATATATATACACATAACATATTTTAATATATTTAATATATAACAACAATATAACAAAAAAAAAGGGAAAAAAGTAAATACCGGTAATAAGAATATTAAATAATAAACATATTTAAAATACATATGTTAATCATAGCTAGATAGATAGATAGAATTAACATGCATTTTAATGTTTCAGATTTGTATTATTTTTCCTACTGAAGGATGAAAATGTATGATGGATATTTGTTGGCATATTTTCCTTTCCTAGCCATTCCAAATAATCAATTTAAAAACGTTTTGAAAAATACTTATTTTTATATGTGCCTACAAGAATTTAAGTATAAATCTTTAGATAATAAATTAATAACATCATTCTTTAATAAAATTCAGTCGAGATACTTTTTATTATTATTATTATTATTTGCTGGTACATAGTGTTCTTTGCCTGATGTGTCCACCAAGTGGCGATATTTAGAATGAAATGATTAAATATCATGGACACGTTTCATCACTAAAGTTTGGACGCGCATGTCTGATTTGCAAAAAAAAAGGGAAAAAAGTAAATACCGGTAATAAGAATATTAAATAATAAACATATTTAAAATACATATGTTAATCATAGATATATAGATAGATAGATAGAATTAACATGCATTTTAATGTTTCAGATTTGTATTATTTTTCCTACTGAAGGATGAAAATGTATGATGGATATTTGTTGGCATATTTTCCTTTCCTAGCCATTCCAAATAATCAATTTAAAAACGTTTTGAAAAATACTTATTTTTATATGTGCCTACAAGAATTTAAGTATAAATCTTTAGATAATAAATTAATAACATCATTCTTTAATAAAATTCAGTCGAGATACTTTTTATTATTATTATTATTATTTGCTGGTACATAGTGTTCTTTGCCTGATGTGTCCACCAAGTGGCGATATTTAGAATGAAATGATTAAATATCATGGACACGTTTCATCACTAAAGTTTGGACGCGCATGTCTGATTTGTCCACCGGATGGCGCTTTTTCAGTGTTGCCAATTTAGCACTTTTGTTGCTAAATTTAGCAACTTTTCAGAGTACCCTAGCAACTTTTTCTTCCAAAAGCACCTAGCAACAAATTTAGCTATTTTTAAAATGTATTTGTCAACTTTTAGCAACTTGGGTTAAGTGACTCAAATGATAAAAAGCACACGTTTTACATCTAAATTACACAAAAAGAGGAAACCAAAGATGCCTAGAAGTACACACATCACATGAATTAAATTCTAATTGCTATTTGCAACTGTTCAATTTAATTGAATAATTGTTCATTTATGATACACAATGGTAGTAGCTTGTACCTGTGTTTGTTGATCAGTTAGTACACATTAAGAAAAATATGTACAAATGAAAAAGGTATAGTAATTCACAATCCCAGGACATTATCCGTTGTAACCCAAAAACACAAAATACAATGCGTAATTTAAAATGCAGGTAAAAAAAAAAAAAACCTGTGAAAAATCAATACGGAAAATTCCTTCAAATTAACATTGTAGATTGTGCCCTATTTTTACAGACTTTTCTTAGACTACTAATACACTGCTTAAAAGTATAATTGTTCAGAATGTGTAGTTTTTCTAGTTTACTAGCTATAAAAACAAAAACTTAAATTGTGATCGTTCAAAAATGTGAAAGTTTTCAATAATTCAATGGTGTATTTTAAATATTTATTTATGTTTTAATATTATATTATGCATTTATATGATTTTACAAACAAATCTAAATTAACATAGGGTGAATTCGGGTAATCTGGGACACCTAAACTCCAGTGTGTTTATTTCCTGTTCTAACAAACTTTAGTCAACAGGACTTTTACTATAATTTTAGCATAGATGTCATGTGACTGAAATCACATGACTTCATTGGGGTGATTCCACAGAAAGGGGCGGGGCACTTGTCAATCAAGAAGCTCCCCTGGGAATTGCATGACAAGGTCAGTGACATAGGATTCTGACTAGATTAATGTTAAGGACATAAATCTGTCATAAATAATACAATGTTCCTAATTGTTGTCAAATTATGTTTGTGATCTATTCAAGCAACAAAATATGTATTAAAGTATTGAAAATGTGTTTTAGTTTTTTTTTCATTCAAACAATTTTTTGTTGTCCCACATTATCAAATATGATTGAGAATGTGGGACAGCATGCTTTGGGTAATCTGGGACAGTCTTCAAATGGAGGAAATATGTATTTAGGGACTTTATAAGTCTAATGACAAGGGATAATATATGCTATAATGAGAAATGGGTGTTAATGTGGACTACTGGAGGTTATAACATTAGCATAAATTCACAGTAGCTAGCAGCTAGCTAAACCAGCTAGCTAGAGAGATGCTACAGAGA